GAGTTGTATTGGGTACCTGTATCACCAGAGTAGAAATTATTTTTCATGTTGGGTATATTGGGAAGCTGTATTGTTACAGCCGTGATTGCTCTGATTACTTTTTCTTTTAATCCTTGTGCCTCTATCTCTTGTCTGCCCCTCCCAAGACTATAGCTGGGACCAACATTGGATACTAGCCTTTTTTTTGTCAAATGGATAGTTGATTATGTGTTATGAAATTCATAGTGTATGATTTCTTTTATTTGCATATCTGTTCTGTATGCAGCTCTGGTGACCCACATGTGGATGTCAAAGTGTTATTGTCTAAGTATAGTAAGGAGCCTGAGGTAGAGGCCCAACTGAAGTTACTTTTACCACAAATAGTCTCAGCCTTTGGAAAAGACAAGTCTGTCATCAAGACAGTGGAAGAACTTGAGAAGTATCAATTAAGTTCAGAAACTACAGGTATGTGAGACTCACCTTAAATTAAACGGTTGCTTGAAGCTAAGTTGCTTCTGTTACACATTCCAAAACCTTATTTAGTTTGTTAGAGTTGGTCGAGTAAGGGTTACTTAGTCTTTTCATTATAGTTTAAGTAGTGTAGTTATGTGGCAATTCTGTTTTGTTTTTTTTTATTTTTCTTGTCCCATACTTAAGTGGGGGTATATTTGACTTTGTATCCTTATTTTAATATAATAGAGATTATGGTCGACTTGGAGGGTTTCTCTTTCTCTTTGAACAGGACTTATCTGAACCACTAAAACATAGTTGTACAAAGTGCAAACTCTGTCTAATGTATTTTAGGAGGCATATCTGTAGTCTGGGCAGTAAGAGTGAGGAAGAAAATGAGGTACCACCAGCTTAATTCTTGACCAAATCTTAGGAAACTTTATTGGGGTGATCCAAAAAAATATGACAAAAAAAAAGCTTTAGCAATACCAACACCTTTTTCTAAAATGATAGTCTATGGTACTAACATCCTCAGATAGTATTAACAGTTCAACATATCATGTACCAGGAGCAAGGGCAACCCTTAAATCCAACTTAGTTAAAGGGGAAGCCATAATCTCCAGATCTGAAATTTGTATGATTTCCTCATTTTTCTTGTGTCAGTCACAAGATTCCCAATAACCCATAAAATTTCTGGAAACTTCACAACAAACGCTGAAAAGTAACAATTTTCCAACTTAGATCAGTTTTTCCATTATCCAATTGATAAGGGGCAAAAAGACAAAAATCCAATAGCAGCCAATGGGTCCTCATGAGATCGGCTCCCTGATCATATACCAAGTAGAGCTTGTAAAATGCATAAAATTAAGAAATGCAGTTCAGGATATGTTGTGAGGATTATTTAATTGTTATTTTATAGTTGCTGTTAGTGAGTTGTCCTCTTAAGATACTGTCAGTTAGTTATTTTCTTTTGTTTTGAAATGGTAAAAAACTGATATATTCATTCCATTGCCAACCGGCCTATTCATACAGTAAGCTGCTGCAATAAATGGAAAAAAATCTTCCTAAATCAATCCCTATAATTAAGGGACTAATTATTTTGATCCCCATATTTAAGGGATTATACTCTTCCACAATCCTAGGAATACATATTCACACATTCCTATTTTTTCACAACTACCAAATATAGATGCTAACTACCAAATATGCATCTACACCAGTAACCCCACGTTTTCCAACACTCCTCCTCAAGCTGGTGAATAGAGATCCTCCATTCCCAGCTTGGCTACAATTCTAGGAAAGTTTGTACTATTGAGCCTTTTAGTAAGTACATTGGCTAGTTGTCCTTTTGTAGATACATAGGGAGTGCAAATCAACTTGCTGTCCAGTTTCTCTTTTATAAAGTGTCGATCAATTTCAATGTGCTTCGTCCTGTCATGTTGAACAGGATTGTGAACAATATTGATGGCTGACTTGTTRTCACAATATAGTTTCATAGGCTCTTCTCGTGGAATCTTCAAGTCTTCTAAAATTCTCTTCAACCAGAGTAATTCACACACTCCTTGTGCCATAGCCCTGAACTCTGCCTCTGCACTTGACCGAGCCACTACATTTTGCTTCTTAATCCTCCAAGTGACTAAATTTCCTCCCAAGAAGGTATAGTAACCAGAAGTGGACCGTCTATCTACTGGAGATCCTGCATAATAGGCATCTGTATATGCCTCAAGAGCCAGTTCCCCATTCCTTCTGAATAAAATTCCTTTCCCTAGATCGGCTTTCAAATAGTGCAGAATTCGATGAGCAGCCTGTAGATGAACTTCTTTAGGATTATGCATAAACTGACATTACATTTACAACATATGCAATATCCGGCCGTGTATGTGCAAGATAAATGAGTTTTCCAACCAGTCTTTGGAACATCTCCTTGTCTACACTTGCATTCTCG